GCTAGTTTGCTTGGGTGTGTTTCCTCTTTAAATGAATTTTCATCATTACTGGTAAGTTCTAAATTTCAACCATTTTTTTTTCATGCTTATTAAAATGCATTCTTGAGCGGCGGTGGCACAGAGGATAGAGCGTAATGAGGTCTCCCGGGTTCGAATTCCAAAGTTGCCTGCTGGATTCGAATTCTGCTCCCGGCTCGCACCTTTGCAATACTGACGTAAATTATACTCGACAAGACGGATCACGGATTAAAATCCTATTGCCGTCGGGCTAACCGTCAGAGGTTTTCTTCTTTATGTAACGCAATCGTGGGTTAGTTCCATCAAAAAATCCTCCATGAAGGCCAGTTTATCCCGATGCTTGATTCGGGAATTCCCTTGTCTTTTGGGTTGGGTACCAAATTACAAGACTATGGCGTGGAACATTGAGAGTTGTAAACTAATTGGGTCGGCTGTCTAACGCTGGTTACAAAATAAATCATTCTTATTATGGATGATTATGGACATGTTTGTATCTACTCATAGCTAGATTTCGATGTTTAGTTATAGAATAACTTTAAATAAACATTATTCTCTGAGGAATCATAAAATATTTATTTTATTCTTTTTACATCTTACATAAAATCTTAAAGCTTGTAATAAACCGTTTTATTATTGTCAAACGCGTCCTACGCAATTCCCAATATCGCATAACATCTTCACAACATAAGAAGAAACCGCTGTGTAAATAAGCACAACACGTGCGTCTTAAAACATGTTTATTTTAAAACCCAACTTAAAACTACGTATATACTCGCCATTTTACTGTTAGGTAGCAAATTTAATAGATCTTTCTCTGCCTGTCACCGAATTGCCATGAAATCCTTTAGACACGAAATAGGATCTAATGGATCGGGAGATAGAATTTCAGAAAATGGCTAAGTGCACTGTTGGCGAACAACAATAAAATGTCTCGCCAAAACCTTTCAGGATCATCATTTCCTGCCGCTTCTGAGTTTGACCTAAAAGGTTCCATGTTCCATCATATTTTGTGTTTTGATAGTAAAAGAAAGGAAGTAAACTACAGGAAACTCGCTTCTACTGTTGCCAAGCAAATCCTTCTTTTGTCCTACATATTTGTTGTCCCGCCAAATTTGTCGCCATTTAAGAAGAGAAACTAAACAGAAATAGGACATTAAACATTAACATTTTCCGTTTTATTGTATTGTGCTGTCAACTCGATTTGACAGATGAAATAATTTTGTGATGACACTATGGAATGTAATTTTTTGGTCGTAAAGCTCTCGTATAACGATATTAGAAAAAATGATAATTTTGAAAAAATTTTACGAAATCAAACGATAACGAACTTTTTTGGAATTAACAGGCATTTTATCTACCGAATTTAGATTTGTGATCCTAAAAAACAATGTAGGGGAGGGGTAACCGTAATTTGGAAAATATAATCTCAATAATTTAGTTAGGTGCGAGAACGTAACTTTTTCTTCACTTTAATCTTAATTTAATTTTAATTCATTTTTATTTATTTATTTGCTTAATTCGTCATATCTCAAGAACTATCCAAGCGAATAAAGGCATTTTTTGCACACAATTATAAAATTCATTTATATAAAGATAATTTTCTACGAAATATAATTTTTTTTAATATTATTTAATATTTTTATTGGTAAACTTAATAATTATCGAAAAAAGTTTGAATATCGTAAGGCATAAAAATTTATATGTAATTTTTAACAGTGTAAATTTAACCGATAAAATTCAAAATTTGAACACAATCGATTAAATAGTTCTAGAGAATAAAAATTTAAAAATACAAATTTTTTATAGTTAGTCAAGTCTGTATTAAGTCCGGATTGCATCTTTGTAAGTGAAAATACGATCATATTTTTTTATTATTATTTTAGAATTTTGCAAATTGTACGAAAACACATAGTAAAAAAGTCGTAAACTCGATTTAACAGGAACTATTCGACCAATTTTGTTCACATTTTATATTTTCCCATACAAAATTACATTCTTTAAACTGATGTAAAAATCTGTATACATTACAATTCAAAACGTTTTCGACTGTTTTATTTAATGAAATAATAATAATAAAATGATTACTGAAGAAAAAATTCGCAGGGAATAATTTTTTAGATAAACGAATTTTATAATTGAATGCAAAAGTTCAGTTCGCTTGAAAAATTTTGGAGACATGGCAAAGAATATAATTAATTTTAAAGGTTCCTAACTTCCGTGTCTGATTTCATAATTCAACCTTTTCAAAACCAGTTCTTTATTTTCCAATAAAAAGGCAAATTACGACATTAATAGATCAAATAAAGTAAAAAATAGCAATATTCTGTCGAATTAAATTAAAAAATCTATTTAGACAATTAGTGGAACTGGGATATATGTGTCCCACTGGGTTTTTTAGACGGGACACATATGTCCTAGCGGTGTTACCGTCTGTTGGACATATGTCACAGTGGGGCCGAAAGGATTAGAATATCGTCTACAATAATTAGAATTTTTGAGGTCACACTCGAGAACCATTAAATTTGAGTGTTAATACGTGAAAATCCAATCTTTTTTTTCTTCTTCTGCACACTGTACAATTTTAACTAAAAGTCCTTATGGTTTTAAATGAAAAGGATTATAAGGAAAAGGATTTTTTTTGCTAGAGAAAGATAATTTTTTTTTCGCGTTAGATTAGCTTCTGTTTGTTTACGAAGATAGCGAAATGTTATTTTTGTGAAAGGACAAAAGAGTTTCTATTATTCTTTGAAACGTTTAGCATTGTCTTTTAACTATTACGAAGGTTAAGTGTAATAATCTATCAGAATGTCTTGTTTATCTCTTCTGCGTTAAATTTTTTCCTTATACTATTAAGCTTTATCATTTTTAAATATATTTCTACTAAATATTTAGGCAGCAGCGCAAAATTTTCTTGAAATGATAAGATATCAGTGTGTTTTCGATAAGTTTGGTTACTTCCTAGTTAGAAATGAAACTATTATTCAAACTATTTTTTCTATACTTTGACACGAACTCTTGTGTTCTAACTTTAAAAAACATTGACTGAGAAGTAAACCTTTTTTCGGTTTGTATTTTTTTTTAAAGTATTCTATTTAATATTTATGCTATATATTTATTTATCTATTTCGATTTTATAGATCCGATTTTATTTCCATTCTTTTTTTTAAATTACGAGTTGGTAATTTTTTGCTAATTTTAAATTCGCGCCGCTCAACATCTTTGAGAGAGTTCTGCAAAAAAAAAAAAAAAAAAAAAATTTTTTTTTTAAATNAAAAATTTTTTTTCCTAAGCGTATTGAAAAAAATATCAAATTTAAAAGCTGTTAAAAATATTTGAAGTTTTAAATCCTTTGTTTTTTTAATAAATCAATATTATAGAAATATTTTCAACTTTCCAATAAGAAAAATTATTTATAGTATTTGTTTAATGTGTGGTATAAATGAAATCTTTATTTTTTAAGTAATCTTTGTACTACATATGTTTTAGACATGTTTTAGTTGAAAAAAAAAAATGAAATTTTGAAAAATTAAAGTTTTTTTAACGCTTTGAACTAGTATCTTTACATTTTGAGATTTTAATGTTGAAGTTTCATCATTCTTTTTAATTTATTTTATAACCATCGTTGAATAGCCGATCAAATTTTGAGAGCTTTCTTCTTATAGTAGTTTTAAAAACAGTTCTTGTGTTAGTCACATGTTTTTTTTTTTTTTTTTCCTTAAATATTTTTTCAATTTAACCTGCAATTATTATAGTTAAAATTTTGGAAAATGTCTTCATGCTTTTTTTTAGGCGGAGGAAGTTTTATTTCTGCTTANAAAAAAAAAAAAAAAAAAAAAAAAAAAAAAAAAAAAAAAAAAAAAAAAAAAAAAAAAAAAAAAAAAAAAAAAAAAAAAAAAAAAAAACGAAAGAAAGGAAAAAAAAAACTTTTTTTAAAAAATTTTATTATTAACAATTTTTTTTTCCTAAGCGTATTGAAAAAAATATCAAATTTAAAAGCTGTTAAAAATATTTGAAGTTTTTCATCCTTTGTTTTTTTAATAAATCAATATTATAGAAATATTTTCAACTTTCCAATAAGAAAAATTATTTATAGTATTTGTTTAATGTGTGGTATAAATGAAATCTTTATTTTTTAAGTAATCTTTGTACTACATATGTTTTAGACATGTTTTAGTTGAAAAAAAAAAATGAAATTTTGAAAAATTAAAGTTTTTTTAACGCTTTGAACTAGTATCTTTACATTTTGAGATTTTAATGTTGAAGTTTCATCATTCTTTTTAATTTATTTTATAACCATCGTTGAATAGCCGATCAAATTTTGAGAGCTTTCTTCTTATAGTAGTTTTAAAAACAGTTCTTGTGTTAGTCACATGTTTTTTTTTTTTTTTTCCTAAATATTTTGCTTGAAAAGCAGGGATTTTCCAACTGAACTGCACACTGATTTTTCGAAGATCGAATTTTGCCTCCACGCCGCAGGTTTCGCTCTCCTAGCCTAAGTCATTTCAATGATGATATAAACTATGCAAAGTAGGATTAGTTTTTTTTACAATTAAAAATAATTTTGAGATGACACAAAGTTAATGATTAATATTATTTATAGGATTTTCTACACCTATAAAAATATATAGTTGGGGAAAATAGGAATTCAACTTAAGAAAATGTAATAAACGTTCCGTTGAGTGCGTGCGAATCATTAAATATTTTCTGTTACTGTGCCGACTGTTCGTTTTTTTTTTCTTTCTTTTTTCCCCCCACCGATTTGACAATGTTTTTTTCTCTACAATTTGCATCCTTATTCATTTGCTTATAAACTTTTATTTTTCCCATTTTCATTAGATTTTGTAATTTAGTACAATAATTAGAATGTGAATTGCCAATAACAATTTCAATATCATTTCTGAGTTTTTCCTCATTTATTTATTTATTTTTGTTCATTACATTTCGATGAAACTAAAATAGTTTGATCATCTGATCACGGCTTTTAAAAATTTCTCCAAACAATTAAAAAGTTCTGCAAAGAAGCCTATTTATTTATTTATTCATTGTTGAGTTTATTTTCAATCCAGTAAACCGCCCACCCATGCGTTACTTTTTTAATAAAAATAAAAAACATTTTTTAATTATTTATGATTTTATTTTTTTAAACACATCTCTTATGTTATTTTCGAGTATTTCAATAACAAAATTTTTTTTGTTGAGTTATCCAGAGAACATTCAACCTGAAAAGTTCCTAATTATTTTTTTATTTTCGGACAATAGTTCATGGGCGTTTTCGCGCGCTCATTTTCATCCACACAAGAGTCAAATGATCTGAAGAAAAAGAGTGAATAATATCTATTCTCTTCCTCATTAAGTGCGCCCTCTACTGACGATCCTCTAAAGCTTCGGTCATAACATGAAGTATCGTTTGCGCGGAAGGAGTCACTATGGGAAATTTTTCTCTGTTGTTAAATTTAAATTTCTTATGAACTCTTTAAGTTTGGTAATGATAATACGAGTTCACAGTTTTGGAGATTAATGTTGAAACAACGTTGACGTATTCCCTGCAATTTTATAATTGTAATATAAGTGGTAAGTATTATTTTCGAAACATTAGTTTTAGAATTAAAAATTTCAATGAAAAAATATTTTCTACCTTCCGAAGCAATGTGCACTGCATGACCTGATAAGATTTTTTTTTTTTGGATTATTTATGTATTTTGCAATGCATTTTATCGTATTATTAAGGCGATTAGTAATTTTATAAATTTATTTTATTTATGTATGAAACTTAGAACTTTTAGTCCAATATTGAAATTTATTCATTTCGTAGTTAATTTCTAAAATGTTGTCAAAAATTAAAATTTTGATTGAAAATGTTTTCTGCTATTTTTCATATGAAACGTTTCCCCAAAATATTAAGAAACTATAACTTTGAAAATGTTTTTTACTTTTCAACTATTATAGCTTCCTAAAAAAAAATCAAAACTTTTTGAATATTTTTATCGCTTTTCAACTATAGGAAACGTTTCCCAAAAATAGTTGGAAAATCAAATTGTTGCTTTTCTAATAAGAAGTGTTTCCCAGATATAATTAGAATTAATAATGAGAAAAAAAATTTGTTGTATTGCGTAAAATATGAAATGTCGATTTCAGTAAAAATTAAAAAAATATAATAAATCAAAAAAATTACATTTTTGTAACTATTTTAGTAGTATATTTCATAAAATATATTATTTAATGACTTACTTAGTATATACTATTTAAGAAGGAATTTAATGCATTTTTTATCCTTGTCAACTTTTTTTTTTCCATCTACTTTTAAAGTAAACTGAAGATAACATGATAAAATAAAGATAATGTAATTGCTTTGAAAGTGACGTATTGTGATAAATATCCATATTATGTCTTTACTAAAATTAATGTTTTGATTTAGTTTGTTTTATTTATTTTGTTTTCTATTAATTGAGGGGTAAAATTATATTTTAAGGGAGAGCTTCGTTAATTTCGGATTTTTATTTTCGTGTTTGTCTTTCATTTTTTTGCCTTCGTTTTATTTTAAGCATTTAATTTTAATTCTGATTATTATAGTTATCAAATTTTTTGTTAAGCAATAATGAATCAAGATAACTTGAATTTATCGAAATGAATGGTGAAAAGTCTATGAAAGATAGTCTGCTTTCATATTGAAACAAATATTCTATAGAGTTAATCTGTTTATCTTATCTTGGTTATTGATTATAATAGATAATAATGTTGAATAAACCGGTTGAAAGATAAAGTTTATCATCGAATACTTTTTAGATTTAAATTCGCATATTTATCGATTCAATAATTATTACACATTTTATAGCTATTATTATCTGAATTGAATGCATTTGAAAAAGATTCAATTCCTTAAATTGTGTTTTTTCTAAGCTAATGTTTAAATATCAATAAAATACTAACGTTAAGTATTGAGCGATGAGTGCAGACGATATTATTTCACACGTGACTGTCTTATCTTTAAATTCTCTTATGTTTGTTCTAAGAGCAATTTATAAGATGGTTCACAGAATTTTCTATAGAAGCCATTAACTTTTATTTTAATCATTTTTATTGCATTATCATTGGTTTATATATGTTTTTCAAAGTATCAATAAAGTTTTATTCCTTCATTGTGTTATCTGGGTCTTAATTCTTAAACTTTAAATTTGTGCTTTTTCTTTTTCCTCCCTTTCAAATTAGCAATCCGCGAAGTTAAAAAGCATATTCCTTTTTTCACTTTTATTTTTATAAGCACTAAAAATTCGTTAACAATCTACTAGGTTACAGTAAAGATAAAATCAAGGATGTTGAAAATAAAATTGTTTCAATTTTAAAATTTTATTTGGGAAATTTAGGCCTTCATGGTCCATTTTGGTGATGGTTTAAATTTTTTTATGGACAATTAACTGATTTGGCAATTCCTTGACGTTCAGTTTTACATTTGTGTGTCAGGGGAAAGTGTTCGCCTCCCAATGAGTTGACCCAAGTTCAAATCCCAGCGGTGTCTGGTTGATAAGAATTCAGCCCCCTGCTCGCACCGACCGCAGTGCTGACATAAAACATCCTCAGTGGTAGAGGGATCATAAGTTAGAATATATTTGCCGTCGGGTAAACTGGGGGAGCCATTCCTCTCCATGTAACACAAATGTAGGTTTGTTCCTTCAAAAAGTTCTCCGCAAAGGCTAGTTTGTTCTTATACATATTCCTGAAGTCCCCTTGTGTTCTGGGTTAGGTTCAAAATTGGGTTAGCTGCTCAACGCCGGTTATAAAATAAAAAATTAAGAAGGGAATTCCTTTATATTTTTATTGCATCACTGTAAAGTTTTGGTACCTGACACTATAGTACTGAATTCTAAAGGTAAAATTTCATTTTTTAGATCTATTTAAGTTGACCAGATACGTTTCTTCTGGTTTTAAAACGTAGATAAACCTCTCGGGGTTAACCTTACTGCGATGATTTGCCTATTTACCTTGCTGACAAATTATGTAAAAAAAGTTGTAATTCTTTTGTTGTGGTCGCTAATAATATTTTAGGGGCATTTTTATTATTTTATTTTACATTTTAAATGTGATGTAATGACAAGTCAGTTACATTACAAGAAATTCCAAATGCTTCGTTTCCCAAATTTCGAAACGTAAAGCTTTAAGTAACAAAATTTTTCTACTACATTTCCTGTAAAAAAAAAAAAAAAAAATGCTGAAATGGCGATTTTATTGCAATTCTATTAATTAAAAAAAAAATTTATATTAACAATATTAAAATTTTACAACCGCAAGAAGGAAAAATTTTTCCATCAAAATTGTGAAACAAACAAATTGACCGAATTCAAAAGATATGTACTATTTTTAATTTATCTAGATGCCAAGGAGGAAAATTATCCAGCAATTTGTTACAAGAATATTGATATCAATTTTAAATTTGTTTACTTAAAGTTATCGCGTTCTGCTTAATGCGACAGTTTCAAGGTCAACTAATAATAGTCCTGTTCCTGTTTTTGATCAGTCTGTAAATAGCGTATATAGAAACTTTTTAAATTTTTTTTTTTTAATTTGATTTTTCCTCTTGACTTTTCCCAACGACGTATTAAATTGTCGTCATTATCCTTATAAAATAAATGTATTTAATAATTGCAATGAAATGGAGAGATGTCGTGTCTTTAACAATTGTTAAATTTTTTCCCCTATTTTGTAGACTTTTTTTCTTGGTAGAGGTAACGTGACTGTAACCTGTATAAACAGACCGAGCTGCAAAATTTTGTTTTTCTTGGGGCAAGTATTTTTAGACGGATACGTTGAAAAGGAAAATAAATAATATGAGTTATCTTGAAAACTTAAGATTTCGGTAAAAACTTTTTCGAGTAAAAAGTAAACGTTAGGGGTATATACTCCATTACCCGGCTTGGGTTGTTTCGAAGAATTTTTCTTTCTTTTGAAGCTAGAAAATCTTTTAAGTGGTCTGTAATTTGAACGACAGTTTCTTCTCTTTTACAATTACAAAACTTAAATTTCACAATTTGCAAAAACTTTGAAGAGATGAAATAAACGGAGAATTTAAATCTTTCACTGTTTCTAGTTCCAGACATGTTAGAATTTGCTAAAAATTTGAAGAGATAAAATAAACGGAGAAATTTGATCTCTCTCACAATTACTAATGCAAGGCTTAAATGCCAGGATTTACTGAAAATTTGAAGAGATAAAATAAACGGAGAAGTTTGATCTGCCACAACTACTAGTGCTAGGCTTTAATGCCAGGATTTACTGAAAATTTGAAGAGATAAAATAAACGGAGAAGTTAGATCTGCCACAACTACTAGTGCAAGGCTTTAATGCCAGGATTTACTGAAAATTTGAAGAGATAAAATGAACTAAAAAATTAGATCTGTTCAATTAGATCTTTCCAAATGTTGCGTTTCAATTTTTTTTAAAAACTTCCTTTCTTTCTATTTATTTACTTGAGTTATCATTTCTTTCTTCATATTTTTATTGATTTTGTTTTCTTTCTTTATTATTTTAAAGATACTGCACATTCATGTTTTCTAAAGATTTGTAGCTTTACATTACAAGAGTTAAAATCGAAAAGAAGCCCAACCTAAAATAAAATATGAATTTAAAAAAAAGGGGGAAATTGAGCTCAACCTTGTATTTTAAATGTCGATGAAAATTCCAATTAATTAAATTAAGTAATGTGTAGAGAAAATCGACATCTATCAAAATTTCACGATGTGGAAAAAAAAGACTTCTATCTTTTTTAGGTCTTAAATTACTAGTTAAGGTCTTAATTACTTGTTGGTCTTAAATTGCTTGGTAAATTACTTGTTTGAATAAATTTCTCTATGCATTTTTACTTTTAATACTTACTTGCATTGTTATATTTATTAAACATTTTTGTCATTATTTTATTATTATTTTGCTTATTATTTTTAATAAACTGTATTTATTAAAGCAATGATTTTTTTTATGTCATAGCATTAATACACCATGACATAAATAAAATTGTTCTGAAATTTAAATCACCCTAACAAATTTTATTGGTGTTTTGTTAAGGCACGCTATATTCCAATTAATCTACATACATGTATGTATGTAATTACGATGTTTAATTTATTTAATACTAATTAACTTCTTATTACAAGACAAAGGAAAGAAAAAGGAATTTGATCTTTGATGAAACTAGTTCCAATTTATTTTTAAAATACTTAATGAAAAATTAACAATTCGCGTTCAAATATAATCCATTTCTTTCATTTCAAAAAAATAAATAAAAACAATTGTTCCGAAACTTATGATTGTTTTTCTTTCAATTAAATTAATGTACGCTAGCACCACTTATTTCAAATTAAAAATAATGTTTAATATTACATTTAAAAGCGATGGGTAAAAAATACAGGTTTGGCAAAAAGTGGGGTTTTTTCTTCTTAAAGATGAATCTTATTTCCAATTTATTTAGTAACATGCTACTTTTTTCGCATTAAATTAATTTTAATGAAGGTTGGTTTATTTTGGTTTTTGCTCTTTATTTGTTCAATTTCTTTTTTCCGCCTTTTACTTATTATTCTTTTCGCTTG